AAAAAAAAAAAAAAAGTAAAAAAAGAAAAAGAAAAGTTTATAAAATATATTTTTATTAAACATATATAATAACCAAAAACTTTCTCTTCTGTGGAAAATTTTTCATTTTCAAGACACAGTAAAATTTAGAACACTGAAGAATATTTCCAAAAAAAAAAATTTTCCCTTTATCTCATTCTTACGTAGCACACAATCATTTCCATTATACCAACTTTGAAACAAACTATTGCTACACTAGGAAAATTTAAATAGAAACTATAAAAATACATAAGCTTAGGTACTTGTCTATTTAAAAACAAATTTTTATGCCAGATATAGGTGACGGGGGGGATGGAGGCAGCAAATCACCTTGACATGTAGGTACCTACACAACAATCCTGCATGATCTGCACATGTACCCCAGAACCTAACATACACTTGAAAAAAAAAAAAAAACTAACCTAAGGATGTGCAACAGTAGCAACCAACCTGAGCGAGGAAGTAGTTCACTATTACAAAGCTGTAGTTATTAGAATATGTAACATTATGCCAAACTGTATACACTTAAAGGCTAAAACCAATTGATTCTGAAATCTACAGCACTAGTGAAAACAAATGGCCCAAGTAACACATACACATGGTCATACCTAAATCTAGATTTCTTTAATTTTTTCTTGGTTATCGACACAGGAGGTTTTTCAGAATAATGCAAACGTAATCTTAATTCAGTCTGACATGTCAGCCACCCAGAATCCAGAGTTTCAACACCATCTGACAGAATATGAAGAACAGTAATTATTACACATTTTTTTAAATAACACAATAAGTACTTAATGCTTTGATAATTATAGTTCACACTTTCTTATTTTAATCTCCAAAGGAAATCTTTTTTTTTTTTTTTTTTTTTTAGACCAAGTTTTTCTTTTTTTTCCCCGGCTGAAGTGCGATGGCATGATCTCGGCTCACTGCAACCTCTGCCTCCTGGGTCCAAGCAATTCTCCTGCCTCAGCCTCCTAAGCAGCTGGGATTACAGGTATGTGCTACCATGCCCAGCTAATTTTTTGTATTTTTAGTAGAGGCAAGATTTCACTATGTTGGTCAGACAGGTCTCGAACTCCTGACCTCNCTCTCCATGTTGGTCAGACAGGTCTCGAACTCCTGACCTCGGGTGACCCACCCACCTCAGCCTCCCAAAGTACTGGGATTACAGGCATGAGCCACCACCACACCCAGCCTCAGGAAATAATTTTTTTTTTTTTTTGAGACCCGCATTGTTGCCCAAGCAGAAGTGCAATGGCACGATCTCAGCTCACTGCAACCTCTGCCTTGTGGGTTCAAGCAATTCTCCTGCCTCAGCCTCCCAAGTGGCTGAGACTACAGGCACCTGTCACTGTGCCTGGCTAATTTTTTATATCTTTAGTAGACGGGGTTTCACTACGTTGGCCAGACTGGTCTTGAACTCCTGACCTTGTGATCTGCCTACCTTGGCCTCCCAAAGTGCTGGGATTACAGGCATGAGCCACCACGCCCAGCCAGGAAATACATTTTTCAACAAGATCTAATCCTTGATTTGTTTCCTAGACCCCGCCTAAACCCTTGTTCACATGCAGCTCAAGCGTGCCAAAAGTAAAAATCTGAAGGAAAAGAATCCTTTCAAATAAGTGTCTTTAGCATAATAATAAAAAACAATTAACTTTTTTTCCTTTCTAAATATGAAAATAATCCCCCAAAAATGAATCATTGTGAATAGGCAGATTTAGAATAGATATTGCAAAGACTTTCGGAAAAGATGCTGGTCTATCATATCACCTTTGAAAAATTCTAAAAGAAATCAATTTTTTTTTTTTTTAAGACAGTGTCTCGTTCTGTTGCACAGACTGGAGGGTAGTGGCGTGATCTCAACTCACTATGGCCTCTGCCTCCCAGGTTCAAGTGATTCTTATTCCTCAGCCTCCCAAGTAGCTGGAATTATAGGTGCCCACCATGCCTGGCTGATTTTTGTTTGTTTTTTCCTGAGATGGAGTTTCATTCTTGTTACCCAGGCTGAAGTGCAATGGCACGATCTCGGCACACTGCAACCTCTGTCTCCTAAGTACAAGTGATTCTCTCACCTCGGCCTTCCAAGTAGCTGGGATTACAAGCGTGCACCACCACGTCCAGCTCATTTTGTATTTTTAGCAGAGACGGGGTTTCACCATGTTGGCCAGGCTGGTCTTGAACTACTGACCTCAGGTGATCCACCCACCTCGGCCTCCCAAAGTGCTGGGATTACAGGCATGAGCCACCGTGCCTGGCCAATTTCTGTATTTTTAGTGGAGAGGGTGTCACTACATTGTCCAGACTGGTCTCAAATTCCTGAACTCCTGACCTCAAGTGATCCATCTTCCTCGGGCCTCCCAAAGTGCTGGGATTATAGGCATGAGCCACCTTGCCCTGCCCACATTCACACTGTAATAATACATTCAGGTTACATAACACTGGTACTCTTCTCCCCAAAGCAAATATAGAGGTAGTCTTAAATTCTGCCTTAAAAAAGAACTTTTGGCCAGCACAGTGGTTTATGCCTGTAATCCCAGCACTTTGGGAGGCCAAGGTGGGTGGATCTCCTGTGGTCAGGAGTTCAAGACCAACCTGACCAACATGGTGAAAGCCCGTCTATACTAAAAATACAAAAAATTAGCCAGGCATGATAGCAGGCGCCAGTAATCCCAGTTACCCAGGAGGCTGAGGCAGGAGAATCGCTTGAATTCAGGAGGCGGAGGTTGTAGTAAGCCTAGATTGCGTCATTGCGCTCCAGCCTGGGCAACAAGAGCAAAACTCCCTCTTGGAAGAAAAAAAAAAAAGAACTTTTATATGAAGTTGGGGGGAAAATTAAATGAATATTAATAATTAGTTATGCTTTCACAATGTAAGTAAATTAAAATATTCAGATTGAATCCATGATTGAAATAATACAAATCTATTTCAGAAAGAGCACATGGTCCAAGACAGCATCTAACCTAGCAATTGTTCTACTAGGGATCACTGCTACACTTCCAAAGCGTCACTTTAGATATTCAGCTGCCACTAGTAATGTAGACTATTTTCTGATCTAAAACAAACAATCCCAAACAAAATCAAGGAAAAGATGTCTTAATTCCTATCTGAATACTGCCAGAGCATGTTCATTTCTATCATACATAAACATATGCACCTAGTAAAAACCACAACCAAAACATGCAGGTCTGTTCTTTCCTGTGCTTAGCAGGAAAACAAGCTGGTTATCAGCAATTTATCTGAGTGACAGTCAGTACAAGCGCAATTCTGCCCACCCACTTTCCACCTTTTGACTCCTACAGTACAGTATCCAAAATGAGAATGCAGGCCAGGCACCGTGGCTCATGCCTGTAATCCCAGCACTTTGCGAGGCCAAGGCAGGCAGATCACTTGAGGTCAGGAATTCAAGACCAACCTGGGCAACATAGCAAAACCCATCTCTACTAAAAATACAAAAATTAGCCAGGTGTGACGGCACACACCTATAGTTCCAGCGACTCAGGAGGCTGAGGCAGGGGAATTGCTTGAACCAAGCAGGTGGAGGTTGCAGCAAGCTGAGATTCTGCCACTGCACTCCAGCCTGGGTGACACAGCAAGACTCCATCTCAAAAAATAAAAATAAAAAAAAAGAATGCAGTTTAGCATAATAGCCTGATACATTGTAAGAATTCCAGTCACCCGGTCATGCATGGTGGCTCATGCCTGTAATCCTAACACTTTGGGAGGCCGGTGCAGATGGATCACCTGAGGTCAGGAGTTTAAGACTAACCTGGCAAACATGGCAAAACCCCGTTCTCTACTAAAAAAAAAATACAAAAATTAGCCAGGCGTGGTGGCAGTCACCTATAATCTCAGCTACTCAGAAGGCTGAGGCAGGAGAATTGCTTGAACCCAGGGGTCAGAGCTTGCAGTGAACTGGGATTGTGCCACTGCACTCCAGCCTGGGCAAAAGAGCAAAACTGTGTCTTGGGGGGAAAAAAAAGAATACCAGTCACTAAAGAAAATCTGAATTATCAGGATATACTATTTACTACAACAGAAAAGTATACAAATATGTAACATTTTCAACATATTCAGAAGTTAAAGCATTTTCTACTCTATCTCAAATTAACTTTTAAACATTCAGCCAGAACTACTAGAACATTCTGGTTAGTCTAAATTTTACTATATATGCAGACATAAAAACACACAAAATACACAAACTTAGCCCAAGTGTAACATTTCACACTTTAGATGTCTAGAACCATTAATATAATTTCAAAAATAACAGAGTTAAAAGACTATACCAGCAGTTAATTATACTACACACTTTTGATTACATAATGTCATATACCTGAAATTGCTAATCAAATAAAAACCAAAAGGATAAAATCTTAAAGCACAAAAATTATATTAGAAACTACTTCTTATTTAAGAGAAGGGATTTGTTTCTTGGATCTAGTCTTTGTTTTCAAAACCACACTACAGTCATGCATTGCTTAACAATGAAGATAAGTTCTGAGAAATGTGTCATTAGACAATTTCACGGTCGTGGGACTATCAGAGAATGTACTTACACAAACCTAAACGGTGTGGCTCCTAGATTCTAACACTGTACAACATATCACTGTACTGAATACTGCAGGCAACTATATAACACAATGGTAAGCATTTGTGTATCTAAACATATCCACACATAGAAAACGTAATGCATTGCACTATAATGTGTGCTACGTTACAACTATGATGTCGCTAGGCAACAGGAAGTTTTCAGCTCCATTATAATCTTATGAGACCACTGCTGTATGTGTGGTCTGTCTCTGACCAAAACATCGTTATGCAGCACATGACTATATGTTCTATTTTCCTGTGCTATATATTTCCAGTGACATGTAAAGTAACATCTCAATCATTTCAGTAAACATTTAATAAGTCAGTCTTACTTACTGTGGATTCCAAATTGTCCATCGTCAATAATAATTTTGTTTTCTAGAATTTAAGGAAAATAGAAAATCTAGTTAAAACTCTTGATGTACACCCAATGAACAATTGAGAAATTACCCACCTTAAAGATCGTTTATAATATTAAATCTATAGCTTAAAAGCAGCCCAAGGTGAATAAGCATATTTATTGTAGCCCTCAATAAAGAATTCCCTTTAAAGGAGGCTAAGCAAACAGTAATAGTTCTTACAAACTTTGGTGATTATTCATTATATTATAAGAAAGAAAAAGAAAACTCTTCAGAGACGTGCTCTAGAGGCACTGGGATGAACTTCTACACTAACCAATGTACAAGACTCACAGATTGCTGGACTATAACTCTTTCTTGATTTTCAAACCAAAGGTCTTGGCACAATTAAAATGCTTATTCTTATGTAGTGCATATTCTGAACCTGTCTCAAATGTAATTCTCCTCATATCCCAACTATTCTCTACAGCCAGTTAAAAGCTTTACAAATGGTGTGAACTTACCTGTATGTACAGAGCTGTGAGGAACTACCAAAAGAATAAATGCAAGCATATCCCCTTCTCCTAACAGAAATTTCAACTCAATGAGAAAAGCTGTAAAGCCCCACCCCCTAAGTGAAATACAATTTATCTTCCTTGCCTACTTCCCTTCCCAGTTTACTTTAAATATAAGTCTGAAATATTTTCAGAATGAATGTGACAGTTCCTAAGAAAGATTTTCTGGTAAGTTTCAAACAGCTTTTAAGTTCAAAAGTGTTATTTCTCAAAAGTATACCTTCCTTTCTAAAACAGCAGAAACAAAACTATCCCACTTCTCATAATAAGGAAATACATTTAACTGCAAGATGCTTTAAAATACAATTTTTTAAAACGTTCAACACTGAGTAAGTTCCAACCTCAGTATGGGACTATTATAATTTTAAGTATACTCTCATAAAAATTCTAAATACACTATAAAAATGTATTAAAACATACAAAAAGAAAATCCAATAAAGAGGATGGAATGAGATACTTTTTAAACGAGATGTGTCCTTGCTCCAGGGTAAAGCAGAAACTCCCACTGCTTTCTAATTTAAACCGGAAAACTAGCATCCAGTTATCTTTCAATTTTAACTTTACCTAGAAACTAAAAGATACATTTCTCGGCACTGAGTCCATTTATAGATGAATACATATGGGTAATTTAATGTATGTGAAATGAACTTCGAATTCTATTTTGAATATGGCCAAGGAAATTCAAAAATACTTGTATGAAGAGAAATGCCATATTTAAGCATAAGAAAAGCAAATAATGTGTTCAAAAGAAAACAACTTTCTGAGTAGCAATTCTAGAATAGCCAGCAGGGAATTTAAGAAATTTGAATTCATTCATACAAGTTTATTCAAGTATGTACCAGTTTCAGAAAAAAAGAAAAAAAAAAGGAAGAGAAAAAAATAGAATAAGTTATTCTATTAATATTCAAAGTTAAAAATTTAAGTCTTTGTTTTGGATTAATTCTTTCTTCAAATGTTCTCTAAGCCTGAGCAAGTAATCAGATAGTCACTGATGCTCATTCAAGAAGAATGGTATCTTACAAACTTTCTAACCAATCCAAATGAAAGTAAATATTTCATAATAAACTAAACTAACCCAAGAAAACAAAAATACTCAGGTAAGCATTTCTAATAAAGTTTATTTTAAGGCATTAAAAACTGTTTAGTTTTGAAAGATCCATGAAATGCTCAGTGAAACTGTAGCACTGACAATGCATTGATCTTAAACTTTAGAATAAAAATTTATTAAATCCCACTAAGCCATTGTGCAGCATATTAGTAACTTTATGCTTATGCCTCAAACAGATGCAGTTAATTCCCATACCTAAAGGGGTTATTGATCGTGGTTGTAGATGAGTCTCCCACTTGTGAACTATCACTTGACATGGACCACCGATAGTCTGCAATTTAAAAGTTAAACGTCTGCAATAATTTCTTATATCTTATTTTCTACCCATGACTCCATTAGATGATTGTGGCCTAAATCTTATACTAAATATGAGACCAAAAGATTCATCTTATTATCAATATTATATGCCAAAAGTTAGGAATGTACCAGATCACAAAACACGATGAAATGCTGGAAGAAAATGAGAGGCAGTAAACAAAGAAAAATGAGATGAACTGGCACACAGAACTCTCTTGAACCCATTCCTAAATCTGCCTATAATACTCAATTGTTTCAAAGAGATTTCATTTTTAACTGATATGAATTCTTAAGATAAACATCAAATATTCTTTCTTCAGTATGTCAGCCATCAATGAGGTATTGCTAGATAAAGTATGTACCTCCTGCTCTATTTAACTAAGTCTCCATGTGTTTAGAAAAAGCCTAAAAAAGTCTACAATAGTAGAAATAGTAGGAACAAGTATACTTCAAGAGCAATTATCACAGGCTACTCAAGGAACTAACAAGCACAGTAAAGTTCTTTATTCATTTAAGAATACTAAGTGAAAAACGGTAAGATTTCTCATATCATAGGAACTAGTGTTTCTAAGGAATACAGAAATTCTACAAGGGACACATGGCCAGGTAAACTTGAAGAGCAAGTGTCATAAAAGAGGAACTAACATCCAGTGTCATCGTATGCCTTAGTTTATAAACTCATACAGTGTGACAATTCCTCATACTGTTTTCTGTTATCAAGTTCCCCTGCTAAAAAAAAAAGAACATAAAGCTCTATGTTGATGACATAGGGAGTTTTAAAACAAGAATGAACTACTAAGAAAGATTCCGAGTATACCTAAAAGACTAATATTTAAGTGTTCTAATTTTCCTTTAATTATTAAAAGGAAACCTCACTAGGTATAATTAAGAGCTGAAATAAAACCTTTAAATACACATTTTGGAAGCATATTTTCAAACTATAATCTTACAAAGTATTTTATTCTTTACATGTTCTGTGAAGAAATATAAATACAGAGAAACAAAAAGAAAATCCAAAACTCACCCATAATATACCATTTAGGGATAATCACCATCAATATTTTCACATATAATCTTTGAGCCCTTTTCTAGGCATTATATTATACATACTTTTTTTTTTTAATTTTTTAGGTTTTTTTTTTTTTTTTTTTTTTTTTTTTTTTTTTTTTTTTTTTTTTTTTTTTTTTTTTTTTTTTTNTTTTTTTAAAGACAGGGTTTCACCATGTTGGTCAGGCTGGTCTTGAACTCCCAACCTCAGGTGATCCGCCCCCCCTTGGCCTCCAAAGTGCTTGGATTACAGGCGTGAACCACCACGCCCGGCCCCATAGTTTTTTTTTTTTTGAGACTGAGTTGCTCCATCACCCAAGCTGGAGTGCAATGGCGTGATCTCGGCTCACTGCAACCTCCGCCTCCCATGTTCAAGTGCTTCTCCTGCCTAAGATTCCCAAGTAGCAGGCAGGTTCGAGACCAGCCTGGCCAACATGGCTTATCTACTAAAAATACAAAAATTAGCCAGCTGTGGTGGCACACTCCGGTAATCCCAGGTACTTGGGAGATTAAGGCAGGAGAATCACATGAATCAGAGAGGCGGTGGCTGCAGTGACAAGATCATGCCACTGCACTCCAGCCTGGGCGACGGCGAGACTGTGTCTCAAAAAAGAAAAAGAAAAGGGTGCTGTGAATAGAATATTAAATGTCACAAAAGAGATAAAAAGTAGGCATAGCAGAGAGTTTGTTTTGTTTTAATTTAAATGTCAGGAGAACTTTACAGACTGTTGATAGCAGTATCTTTACTTAATTGCATAAGAATAGTCCTTTGGATTCAATTTGATAGGGAACATATTTTAACAACTCCACTCTCATCTACCCACTACCCACTGCATAAAACCATCTAGACTTGAATAGAATAGCATGTCTGAGGAACAGACCAAAGGGCCAGTAAAACAGATGACTTAGAATTATGCCTATCATCATTCAGACTACAAATGCACATTGGTTGGTAAACTGTTATAATATAGAAAAAAAAAAAAGAACCTAGTTTTAAAATACACTGAATTTCCAAAATTGTTATGACTACTTTATTAAACTTTAGAAGGTAATCTTAAATTTTTAGCTTTAGTTCTTTAAAAACAACAAAAAATTAATGGGCCAGGCACAGTGGCTCATGATTGTAATCCCAGCACTTTGGGAGGCCGAGGAAGGTGGATCACCTGAGGTCGGGAGGTTGAGACCAGCCTGACCAACATTGAGAAATCCCATCTCTACTAAAAATACAGAAATTATTCAGGCATGGTGGCACATGCCTGTAATCCCAGGCACTCGGAAGGCTGAGACAGAAGAATCACTTGAACCCAGGAGGCAGAGGTTGCAATGAGCCAAGATCGTGCCACTGCACTCCAGCCTGCAAAAGTGAAAATCAGCCTTCCAAAACAAAACTATAAAATAAACTTAACAACTGAGCATGGGAAATTCAAAATCTCAGTGACAACTCCAAAACCTGCATTCCTTTGTTTCCCTTTCCTTTTTTTAAATCCTGGTCTTGTACATGCAATCCTTTGTAACATACTATCTGTAATAACTCATTCTTTAAGATCTAAGGGAAAAAAAAAAAAAAAAAACAGTTCCATTCTAAAAAAGTCTGCCAAAATTTTAAGCTTTTTGGAATAACATGGGAGACGGATCTTTGGAGAAAAAAGTAATGATGTCAATCTAAGACAATATGCCATTACCAGTACTGGTAGAGTTATTTCACAATTTAGTGTACATAATGTCAGACGACTGCAGAAACATGCATATTAACAAAAACATAAAAAAATTTCTTTCCACAAGAGTAAGTCTTAATGATTGTTTTCTTAAACAGTTACTGACATCACTCAGTTACACCACGCTCTGAAAGAAAGAAATAAGACTATCTAATATGTAGACTGGAAGTCTGTCTTTGTTTTGTAACAAATCACCAAGCAAAATTATCAGTTAGCCAAGTAATACCACTGCTTGCATACATCACAAATTTTTTAAACTTTTACTGATTGTTTTCCTTCCACAAGTTTGAAAATAAACTGAATGTAACAGGGGATCTGAGGAATCAAGGCTGCGCGAGGGGTCTCACGCCTGTAATCCCAGTACTTTGGGAGGCTGAGGCGGGAGGATCACCCAAAGTCAGAAGTTCGAGACCAGCCTGGCTAACACAGCAAAACCCTGTCTCTACTAAAAAATACAAAAATTAGCCAGGCATGATGGTGCATGCCTGTAATCTCAGCTACTCAGAGGCTGAGGTGGAAGAATCACTTGAACCCAGGAGGCAGAGGTTACGGTGAGCCAAGATCGCACCACTGCACTCCAGCCTGGTGACAGAGTGAGACTCCGTCTCAAAAATAAAAATAAAAATAAAAAACTCTATTTTTAGTATGGCCAGTAAGAAAAATAGTCACCTAAGCATAAGTAAAGCAAAGGAAGCTAAATCAACAGACTCTCTGAGGATGTTCAAATCTCAAGTTAACAGCTGACAGTATTTACTATTCAGAAGAATTTTAGATACTAAATTATTCTACAAAATGAAAAACTATTCTGAAAATAAACAATTATCTATCACAGGTGACTGATTGTCTTGTTAAAGGATTTAAACAAAACTCAAGGAAGATCAAGATGAAAATAAGACAGTCTGTAATGAATCTAATTATGAGTTAATTAGCAGCTATGAAAGTTAGAAACACAGATAAGTGCAGTAAACTAAAGATGAATTTCTACAAAAATGAAGGAAAAATTTCAAAGGATATAATGAAAAACTGGCTAACATTTCACTATGTGGAAACATTCCTAATTCTACCCACAAGCAAAGATGGGTGGGTAGGAAAAAAAAATGTTGAAATTACATGTTAATTTGAAAAATATCTTTGGTGAGGATGTAGTATCTATGGACTATCTGCAGATTCATACCAGTGTTTTCATTCCAGGAATACTCACTACTTTTGTGTGCTATGTTCAAATAATATTTTGTTTTGTCATCTGTGAGATTATCTTAAAATTTAACACATTAACACCTTCTCCTAATTCACAAAGAGAACATGTAGTTGTGAAAATTTGAGAAAAAGGATTTCAGGACTCTTCTAAACTAAAATATGCCAGAAAAAGCAAAGCATGGGAGAAAAATATGAATGATAAAATTTTATTTACTCAATAAAATTTCAGTAATGAAGGGATCTAAAAATCTATAGTTCAAACCTTTTGTTTTATAGATGAGGAAGTTAACGCCTAAAGGTCAACTGGCTTTTCCATAATCACAAAACTTTTAGCTTTGGTTCCAAAACTCGCTAGGTAGATTACCTCCTAAAATTGTCAACCTGGTAAAATTAACTTTGCTCCCATTTCAGCTTTTTAATGCTTTCATTATTTGTTTTCCTATCATTCTTTATATTCATAACATTATGTATTACAATAATTTACATCATTTCACAATTTAAGATGCCTTGCACATTACTTCTATTATTTGACAATGCACAACTGAAGTTTCATAATACTTCTATTAAAAATGTTTCATTTAAAAAGCGCCACCAACTTTTTTTTAAAAAGTGTCACATTAAGCTGGAATGTGGGGAAAAAAACTGGGATTTTATGTAGCTATTTACTCTATTCCATGAAAAACCTACTTAAAGAAACACACTCACCAACACATACTGTAAACTTTTGCAAGTATTACAAGGGGAAAAACTTGTTTTTTACTCTTAAGCAGACTTCTTGCCAATTTTTTCAAAAGATATTTTGGACTGATCTGCTGCTTTTGATTACATTTTCAATGAAGAGGATAAATACTTAGGTTGGCTTAATTTGACCTGTGTTGACAATAGTCTTACTTTAGAAAACTATGCCCAAAGAACTCATTATCATCTTTCTTGTCCAAACTCCCCTTTCTAAGTAAAATTTAGTTTTCACATATTATAAAGCTAAATTTCATGTACCAGGATCCTCAGATAAGCTTGCCGTGTCTATGACCTATATATCTACACACGATTGCTCAAGTTATACTGAAGAACTACCATGAAGCATTACCCCATGCCAAATAAATGAGATGCCCTTAAGTTAAAGTGAAACTATTGTCAAGAAAAGCCAACACAATGATCAACCACAATGTAATTTAAGTTCAGTTACTGGGTATTCACAAAATATTCTTGGAATAAGAAACGTAATAGGTGCAAAAGACAGCTAAAGTGGGTTTGCCAAGTTTTCTCTCTTTTCTTTTTATAATGGTGGCTAAGAGAATGAGGTAATAGTGGCTGCTTGCATTTTTCACATGTAACAAAAACACTTAATGACCCCCAAAGGAAATAAAATTTTTAACAAGATCTAATCCTTTGTTTCCTAGACCCCTGCCTAAACCTTTGTTCATATGCAGCCTAAGGGTGTCAAAGGTAAAAATCTGAAGGAAAAGAATCCTTTCAGCAAATAAGTATCTTCAGAATAAAAGGAAAAGAATTAACTTTTTTCTTTTCGAATATGAAAACAATCCCAAAATAATCACTGTGAACAGGCAGATTTAAACTAGAAATGCCAAAGGCCTTTAGAAAAGATAGGGGTCTATCAATACCATCTTTGAAAAAAATGTAAAAGAAATCAATTCAACTTTGATCAGAGTTAACACAGCCACTAAGAGACGGCTGCTGTGAAATAATTTTTTAAAAATTATTCACTTACAACGGGCTATATACTTCTCTAAATGTATTTACATTACATAAGGATTAAAAACCAAAAGTAAAACCTCTGCAAGCGGTTCCTAACTAGTTTACAAAAGTTACCAAAATGCACACTTAGAAAGAACACATTAATAAAACCAATTTCATGATAAGAATATTGCAGAACATACTTACTATGTCTTTTTAAAAGTCCATGGCAGACATCATCTGCCTCTGAAGTGGCTACTTCCTCAGTTTTGGTAAATTTTATTAATCAAGAGTTCTATTCCTTATTTGACCAAAGCGAATGCATTTACTTTGAACATTTTCAAACTTAAGTGAGTTGCTTTTGAAGGAAGTACTAAAGCAATTGGAAACTAGATACAGAAAACATACCTTTGGTTCTAAAAAGTACCCTTTGAAGTAGCGATACTGAACTGAGACTCCTCTACCGAGTACAATGGTTGCTTTCCATAACATGCTGTGAAGAAAGAAAATTAAAAGCAGCAGCATCAGTATCCAACTACAGTACATAAAGACTTCTTAATTCACAAAACCCCTCAAATAAAACATGTGACCAATATCATTTATTCCTACACAAAATTTTATAGGCCTACTCTGTAGCAGGCAATAGGAACACAGTGACACATATTGCAGAAAGAGCCTCATCTTCAAGGAGCTTCCTTTGCTGTGCAGGTAGACAGAAAAATAACCAATGCAGATACCAGGAAGTTTTGGGGAGGCTTTTAAAAGGAAGGAAGGTTTTAATGGGGAAGCGCTGTCTGAGCTGAGACCTAAAGAATGAGAAGGAATCAGCCATACAAAGAGCCAGGATAAGTTTCCAAACAAAATCTAAGTCGTACAAAAGTGGAAGCCAGAGTCAGAATCTTCTCTGACTTCCCACTTGGCAAGGGATGTAACATGGCTGCTAAGAGACTTTGGGACACAGCTTCTGTGTCACAAATGAGAGATAAACATGAGTTAACCTCCTGTTCTTGACTATCCCTTATTCTAAAGTGTCCTACTCAGGCTCTGACTATTCCTTAACCAAGCAGTCAGAACCTGTATCTTGTTTCAGGCCAATGTCTTTCTCTGAACTATGTATTCTAACAGAAACTAAAGATTTGACTCAACAGCTACCTCAAGGTCAAGAATTCACTACAATTCATTATTGTAACTGGCTTTTAGCTTCAAATAATAAACTAGTGGTATCCAAAGCATAGTCCCAGACCATCATTAGCAGCTGGGAGCTTCTTAGAAATGCAAATTCTCAGGTCCCATTCAGACCTATAGAATTAGGAACTCTGGGGGTGGGGGCCCAGTAATCTGTATTTCAACAAGCCTCTAGGCAACTCTTGAGAACCCCTTTCTCTGAGAACCCCTTTCAGATCAGTAACCAAACGTTAATTCAGCATGAGTAGTTTAGCCCTACCTGGCTCTACTAAGACAGGTTTTAGGGCATTGTCCTCACTCAGGTACAATCCTAGCTCCTAAAATAAATACAGATATAGCTCATTGTATTGCACTTTATTATATTTCGCAGATACTGTGTTTTTTTGTGTGTGTGAATTGAAGTTCTGTGGCAAGCCTGAGGCGATCAAGTCGATCAGTGCCATTTTCCCAACAGATGTGCTTACTTCGTGTCTATGTCATAGTTTGGCAAATCTCATAATATTTCAAACTTTTTTTGCTATTATTTTATCTATTATGGTGATTGTATGCTACAGAAAATCTTTCACTAAAGTAACAGTTAATCAATGTGGTAAACTTCATTGTCTTTTTTTAAGAAATTGACACTGTCCTCAACCTTCACCAACCACCACTCTGATCGGTTAGCAGCCATCAACATTGAGATAAAACCACAAAAAGATTGCAGTTTGCTAAAGGTTCAGACGATCGTATCATTGTTTAGCAATAAAGCATTTTTTAATTAAGGTGTGTACATTTTAAAAAATCACTGCTCTAAAGCAAGAATAGCAAATGCTTGGCACATGTTCCCCAACTTTCCCCTATAAGCAAGCCTCAGAATCCTTTCAACAGGTTTCCAGGCAGACTCTTCCAATTCAGAATAGAAAGCTGCCATTTCTACCAAGAAAGAAAGAAAGAAAGGTAATTCCCAGCACTACCTCATCGACAAAACAGTCAGTTGGAGTATGTGAAACTAGCTCCAGATGTGCAGAGTAGAATTAGTTATAAGCTTTGAAGAATGTGCTGCAGCCTCTCTTTCAATCTCCAGGAGTAGGATCTAGGTATGTGTATTGTTTTGAGTCCTCCCAAGTGATTCTAATGCAATCTCTAGTAAAGAACAACTAAGTGGGAATAAGAGATAAAGAAGGCAAAGCAGGAGCCAGGTGCGGTGGCTCATGCCTGTAATTTCAGCACTTTGGGAGGCTGAGGCGGGCGGATCACCTGAGGTTGGGAGTTCAAGACCAGTCTGACCAACATGGAGAAACCCCGTCTTTAAAAAAAAATAAAAATAAAAAGAAGGCAAAGCAGTGTCTTTTTACTCTCTCTCTCTCTCTTT